ACCTGAGAGCCTTCATAATTTTTTGTCTCTCCTGCTCCCAACTGAGCTCTTTGGCGGCCATCAGCTCCTTCAAGGCAGCATTTTCTGACACCAGCTGGTTGTCTGGTTTTTGAGAGTCCGGTTGGGCTGTTCTCAGGTCCTGCAGCTGTCTGCTGAGGGTTTGCTGGTGTTCTTTGACCTGCACCTCTTCAGCTGGGCTGTCCTGGTTTGGACTTTGACTCGGAGAGCTGATCACTTCCACCATCTCTCTGGGTTTCTTGCCCGCCTGTGCTATCTTCCTACGCTCTCTCTCTGACCTGAGAGCCTTCATCATCTTTTGTTTCTCCTGCTCCCAACTGAGCTCTTTTGCGGCCATCTGCTCCTTTTTAAAATGCCGACCATACTTTTTAAAGGAACTAAAAGCTTCCTTCAGCCCATTGTTGTCTGCATTCACTTAACTTTACTTTAAATGTTATCAAACAAAGAAAGATGTTCTCCCCTCATCTTAACATGGTCCTAAATCGATACTAGAGTACTGTTTTATTAATTAAGTGGTACACGACTTGAAGCATCGGCCTTAATTTGGACTCTGGTCCCTGAGGGCGAGATGCAATGAGTTCCACAAAAGGTTCCTAGTCCCTGAGGAAGGTTACTGCGTTTTGAAAAAAGAGGCTCATCATGATTTTCCCAAATGATGTGCAGATTTTTAGGGCATTCTATCATTTCAAAATGTTTTTTAAATTGTGCATATAGCTGCTGTGAATGGGAATACATCTCTCCAAGGTTGGGGCATGAAGTTTGGGGTGAGCCCTGAATTCTTACAACGTCCGTCTCCGGCCACTGGACGTGAATTGCACACAGTTTGCATTCAAGACGCAGTTTTATGTTCACACAGTACGTGTGTGACGACAGAATACTCTCTCAAGTACAGCCAAGAGGTTTGACTGCATTCCCAACAAAGCAGGTAAGTCATTGCAAACGTGTCTTGTGGCAGCTCTTTATGCTATTTCTTCTCATAGTTGTTTTTCTCATACATTTGTGCATTATAGCAGATCTTTTCAGACTACAGCCATATCCGCAGAATATGTTTCAAAACAGTGATTATGATTAAACTTACTGTACATGGTAATTCCTTTCTGATGAGGGGAAACTTCTGGAGAAGATGATCAGTTTTGTTGCACTACTTGTTTTTAGGTCGGCTGCCGGCTCTCTTGGGCCCCCTGCTGGTGATCGTGTGCGGTGGCAGCAGCATCGACATGGCGCAGCTGACCCTCCTCAAACACAAGCTGCAGGAAGAAATTTGTGCTTCTCCTAATATTGTGGTGTAATTTTTAAGTAACATGAAATATGAAAATACAATGAGATTTCTTATAAAGAGAACACATTTCTTAAGTTATTCATCATTGAGAGAGTTATTACATGTGAATGTGTTTTTAACGTGCTCAGCTCAATGAACTGTCAGAATTCAATTTCTACATCTCCCCACATGGTGGTTCACTATTCAGAAATACACTGGCCGTCCACAGAGTCTCATATGGAACACTTATTTTTTTAAAGAGCACCTTATGTGAATTATTGATCAAAACAAAAGATTTATTTTTGAAATATAGAAAACTGCATAGAAAGCAAATCCATATATAACGACGATAAAGACTTATCTATAATTAATGTAAACTGGTATTCGCACTGGTAAATTCATCAGTTTGAATTCATAACTCAACATCTACTTACTAGGTTTCCTCTAGAGCTTTCAGTCACATCACATGGCCTTCATCTGCAGATGGAGTTTTGTGGAGTTACTGTAAGATGTTCAGGGATGACAGACACTGCTGAATGACTGCAAAACTGAATGTAAAGTCTGGTTTTATTTTGATATTGTTTTTCCGAGATTTGGACAAGATGCACATCTTCTATAACATTCTGCAGTAATACACGTCACCTGGCTTGTTTATGGGGGCAAAAATACAACTTTCTGACCTTCTGTTCTTCTGTTTGATCGATCGTTCTGCACTGGAGGTGTTTACCTTGAGGAATACTACCAACTGTAAATACTCCTCAAGCCTTTTATACACTGAATGCTTAGAATATTAAAGAGCTTGAAATCCATCATCACTCACTTGTTCCCCATTTCAAATCCATCCCGAGGGAAGGTCTTCCTAAAGCTCTGTACATCCTGTGTGTATAAATATATTTTCCACATCAGTAAAACAGCCCTTAACATGTAATGACCTTCATCAGAATCAGCTTTATTTGGCCAAACATGCGTGCACACACAAGGAATTTGACTCGGTTCGTTTGACATTTACAATATATTTACAAGTGTTAGGTTTATTCTGAGGTGCTTGTTGCTCAGCGTTACCTTTGCTTGCTTGGCATGAGTACATTTCATGTCAAACAGGTGTTGTTAGTGCGTGTGTTGTCTCTCGTTGTTTCTAACGGTGGTGCTGAAAGGACAGCTCAGCTATTTCAACTGCATAACGTTTATTGAGACGGAGAGCAACTGAAACGTTACGTTTCTATCCGCTGGTTGTGTTTCTACTGTTAGTTAAACACACGCCAACTCTGGCTGCCGTCTGTTGTCGGCAGTGGTGTTGTCTCCTCGCTGCACGCTGCTACTTTACAACTTGGGTCAATGAGAGCAAACTTCACGCAGATGGGCTTTGAGGTTTCATTCAGTGGGTGAAATAGTGCTTTGGGAAGCTCTATTTCAGCTTTGTAATATCTAAAGTACTGCGTTTAGCTCATGGTTACTGCGTAATAGATTATTTCCTGTGTATATAATGTTGTGTTTTAGCTTCTGTGATTTTTCCCAACAGACGCGCTTGTACACCTTCCTCTGCTTATATAACTTTGCAGGTTGTAAGCAGCTTTGGTGTGTTTATTCAATCAGTTTAAATATCACGATGCTTGCAGCTGTGGAATACAACGCTTTGAATGTCAGTCGAAAGAGGACATGACAGCTCAATTACAAATGACCTGTTTAATAATATTAAAGAGTGGAAGCATTTTCACCTTTCAATCAGATTATGAAGCTGTGTTCTGAAAAATACTTCACTGCAGTCATTTCTGTGTTTCCCAAAATACATCAATGTCTGTGCTTGATCTGTTATATTGTCTGATTATATGATGGGCTTTAAAATTTAGAATTTACCCTTTCACTTTCATTATTTTTTCATATAGAATGATGCCTTTATTTATAAGTGGGCAGTAGAGACAAGACATGAGAGGAAGGAGAGGTATGGAAACTGACACAACAAAGTTTCCCAGACAGAACTGAACGGGGAACGCTGTAATCACGGTATATAGCAGTGGTGGGCTGTCAGGGCAAGCAAGGCCTTCTCTGCTGGCCTAGACACTGACAGAATCCCAAAGTATAATTTAAACTACATGTATTATAAATATGTTTTCCCATCAGCTTATTATCTCATTGCATAGCTACTGTCTTCCTACAAGTACGCCAGCATTAACGTGTGGCTTGATTGGTCAAGTCTGGGCTAGTCTGACTGTTGTGAAACTAGCTAGTAGAACTCTGTAGTAGTAAGAGTTGAAGTTTACAGATATGTAAGAAGTTTTTATGTGACATTACATTTTTAGCATTTTGGCACGTTTGGCGGTGACAATCCAAATATCTACTGCCTCTGTCGAGCTGACATTTTCAGCCCTCAAACGCATTAAAACATATTCAAGAAATACAACTGGGGAGACTCGACTGTCATCACTGTCGTCCATGAATCGAGAAGGACCTCTTGCTAGAACTTAACCGATGTACTTTACACCTGTGTCATTGAACTCTTTGTAATCAAAGAGAGGAGGATGGGGTTTGTCTTTAAATAGTGAACAGCAGCTTTAATAAGTGAACTGCTTTAGTTTTACATCTGCAGTAGCCTTACTACTGTGTTAATGTTTCTATGGTGTCGTTTTTATGATATGGTTAATATTGTTCCCTCTGATGTGAAGAACATTTGAATGGTGCTCTTGAGTGTGTGGCGGAATGCGTGTTTTAGTGCTGCAATTTTGCTGGAATGTGCAGAGGCCTGTTGAATTGTGTTATTTGGCTTGTATGTTATTCTACCTGCTTTGTTGTCATATAAATATATGTGACTGGTTCTTGTGAGTTTGTTCTTGTCATTGTGTTAATTACATTGATTTTGACTGTATGCATTGCCCGTTAATGACGAAGCATCCCGTCATGCTGCGTCATAGTGACAGACCTGCATCCTTTATAGTTTTGTGCGTATTCATGTATCTGCACTCTGCAGTTTGTGTATTTGTAGCCCTCATAGGTGTTGAGCTTCAGGTAACATTTTATGTTACCTGTTATGTGAATATGCGCTTTTTACACGAAAAAAAGAATAATCTGTAGCTGTGGTGTCATAATCAGGTTATTAGGAGGTGGTTCAACTGTAGTAGGACAGCACTGAAGACCCAGGTATAAAATACACGGCCCGCCACTGATATAGTTTAAACCACTGGGCCAGTAGGATTGTGAAGGTTAAAGGTCCGTACTGGTCTTATGAGAAAGAGGGGAAGTAGTAGGCCACGAGGAATACAGGACAGCTGGGCTTGAAACCAGCACAGTGAACGTGAACTATCCAGTCCCTTCTGTAAACTCAACTACCCAGCAGCCCTCGGGGCTTTGCTAATACCACATTGTTCAACATGTGACTCATCAGTGTTTGATGGAGAATCTGAAAATTGTGTTTAAATGAATGCCAGTTACAGCGAGAGTTTGATTCATTTGGTTTGAACCACAGCTAAGTGTTGTTTAATGCTACACTTCTATAAAATGATCCAAAGACCTTACAGTCTTATTTATTGGACAGTGTTGCTGACATTTTACCATTGGATAGAGGTATTGAAAACAAATCTGATCTCAGAATTTTCAGTGTTATCTTATCGTAATGGACTTTATGCTATTTTAAAAGTCACCACCAGACACAACAACAAGAACAGGACCACGTGACTGGAATTTTCCAGAGACTACCGTTGCTCCACCCACCGGCCAACCCGCGTTTCTTCATACGAGCAACGGTCGGATCAACTTCGAGGAAGAGACAACGATCGCGCGTTCGCTAATATTCAGCTACAAACTAACATATTTATATCACTTTGAGCTATATTCGTGAGTAATCGTCTCGTTATACGTTTTTAAGAGGGACTATTTTGTTCTAACGTTGGCTTTATAGCGTTTACGTCGACGTTATCGGAACAAAGGCTTCAATCTAAAGTCGGCCTGGTAAGACCTATGACGTCAGCTAGCATGGCTAACTGTTTTGCCAAACTAGCACGAGTTAACGTGTCGTGTATCTTCTATTTGTGAGTATATGTAGTGTCCTGTAATGTTTAGGTTCAGGTTATGTCTTTTTTTTCATGAAAGGCGAACGGACTGCATACGGCGTCTTTTGGAGCGAAAACAGATGTTAGCTCGAGTTAGTTAAGCTAGCTTTGGCTAGTAGGCCGCTTTCAGCCCTTGCTCTACTTGTTGTGCAACACTAGCTGTAGGCTTTAACATAGACTGTGTAACTTACGTACTTTGTAATATGACCAGTACATTTATGGTTTACTAATTGTTGTAAACGGTTACGGTTTTTTATTTTTTTTAAGTACTTATGTCTCATTTCAGCTTGTGGCAGAAAATACAACAATGACCAAAGGAGAAGACTCTCACTCGGAGATTGCCCACGTTCGTCAGAGTGACGGCATCAATGTCATCTTTGACCAGAAAAGCCCCGCTGGCTCCCGTTCACGGTCCAAAAGCAGCGGCGGCAGCGGACGCTGCTCTGGCCGCCACAGGGGGCGCAACGGCCACAAGGGAGGTCACCGGTCTCATTCGTCTTCGTCCAGAAGCCGGTCCTCCTCTCGCCGCCGGTCCCGCTCTCACCCGCGCTGCCACAGACCTTCCTCCCGCTGTCGCTGTGATAACCATCGCAGGCACGGCCGTGGCTGCGGATCCCCACCGCGGCGCCACAGGGCCCATCACGGCTCACCCTCAGCCTCCAGGCACCGACGCAACAGGTCCCGCTCCAAGCCATCCAGCCGGAGGAGCCGGCACAGGACTGCCGTGAGCAGGTTTTCCCAGTCCCCGCCCAGGAACCACAGAAGCAGCTCAGGGTCCGGATCGTCAGAGCATTCTGTCAACTTGAGTTGTGATGGTGAGTTGAATTGATGAGGGAAATAGGCATTACTCTGGCAAAAATTATGAATTTTACTAGTGATTTAAACTTGTTTTTTTGTGTGTGTGTGTTCCCCAGATAAAGGAAAACACATCAAGGCTGCGAAGGCCAATGCTACCACCACCGTCGTAGTAGTGGAGAAGCTCGAACTTCCTGAGATTGTGAAACCAATCCTGTCTGAGCCGGCGGAGGAGTCCAAACAGGTTTTGCCAGAGACAAGATGGGTGAGACAAGACCCTGAAAAGACTCTGTCAGAGGTGGGTGTCTGAGAGTGACTGTCAGCTTCACATTGAACACAATACACGCTTAAAATCAGGCTGTCTCACAGATTACTATTAAACGCACAGAAGTTTTCACCCCATCTAGGACTACATGTAAATACAAGGTAAGGTGTGTTGAGAATTTTATTGATTTAATAATGGAAGTTGATCTTAGCTGTCACGTAATTTGATCAAAGTTACACTTTGCCTGATCTACTCTTATCTTTGTTGCAATGTCTACAGGTGTCTATTGATTAGCTTTATGCTGTGTTGAATTTCCTGTCTTGTGTTAACCTCTGGACCCCTGAGGGAATATACATACTCTGTATTTATTCCTGTCTTCATAGATAACATGACAGTGGTCTCCTTGACTCATCGGCACCTGGGATTAAAGGGCTGTCATGTGACTTAGGTGACAACAATACGTGTTTGCGTGAAAGTTTATCTGATAACCCTTGCAATGTTCACAAAGTCATAAGTTAACTGGAGGTTTGCAATCAGACAAGCGCATGCAGATTATCAGACATGATGCACACAGTCAATACAAATGCTAATTCCCTCACATAGATGCTTCATGAGCAATTCAGACGTTGTATTACACTGACTCCACTTGATAGAGATAGGCAGTAGAATTTTGACATTTCCAATGTATTTCTGCTTGAAGTTGAAATGGGTCGTTGTTATTTAGCAGAATCCTTCACTCGCTGATGGAGCAAAGGCGTGTGGACTGCATTATAGTGACTATCCCTGTCAAGAGAGCTAAAAACAGACGAAGAACTCCTCTCCGTGTGCCAAAGATAAGTTGGTTCACCAGCCGTGTGCTGAGGGCTGGGAAACCTACGTCGCCATCATTCTGCCACTGTAGACAGAGAAGACATCCTTTCTTACTATGATACTTTTCTTTTTGCATTTTCTTGTTTTATTCTGTTTCTATGTCTACTTTTTAAATGGTGGAGCCAAGTCTTTGACAGGGGGGGGGGGGGGGGGGGGGGGTGTTAGTGTTGAAACTAACACTTAAATAATTCACTATACAATGAAATGCTTTACAATATTATCAGTGGGAACTATAATTTATCTGTAAGAGCATAACAAACTGAAAGCACACAGCATCAGTTCTACACGTATATCTCACTATGTCTGCTTTTCTTTGTCTTTTTTGAAACAGAGCGATGAGGAGTCTGATGATATGTTCAGCCCAAGGACGTCCCCAAAAAGGAAAACCATCTCTTTCAGCATTAATGTAAGTGACCTAAATAGCAGCTTATTCATGATTTGTTTAATCCTGTTGATGTTAAGAGCCAAACACTGCTTTACATGAAGCCGACAATACATCGATGTGTCCTAACGTCATCTTCACTCCTACTCTTGTCCCGGTAGAACTCCATGGTAAAACCAACAGCGGCAGCTCCATCCGGTGCTAAGGTAACTTCCAGAATGGACAGCTATGAAAGCAGGAAGCCGTATGGCCACTGGAAGCCAGTCAAATCAGGCCACGCCTCCAGGGCACGCAAACACGCGCTCGCCGGGTCACCCTAGTGTGGCAGAGTACATGGACGCTGTGAATACTATAAATACTTTGTACATATGTTTGACCATTTCATGGCAGGAGCTTTATTGCAGATGAAAAAGTTATGTGAGAAGATGTGAAGAATTCGATCAGGTGGGATTATTTGGTTTGTTTTTCCCTTTTGTTGTATATTGTGCTTCAATAAAGATATTTATTTGATAAAAAGTATTTCTGTCTTATTAGTCTCAGTACCTGCATCTTGAGCCTTGAATAAGTATTTAGGGAATCGCTTTAATGGGAAGTTATTGGGGCTTCAGAGTCCAACACTGACTAAAATACATTAGACATACAAATTCGATTTTAACTAATAGTAACGAGGTTGATTGTCCATATAGGATTACGCCGTACTACTTACCAGTTACTAGAGTAAAGTTATGGTATGCTTAGATATTCCAGTGGGGTAAATAATGATGGGTACATAAACAATTCTGTGCAACGTACTTGGTACGTGATATCTTGATTTAAAAATGTAAATAATTAAATAAATCCTGGCCAACTTCCATTTTGGTGCTTTAACTTCAGGTTCCTGGTGTTGTCCATGCTTGCTCACTGTCACTCATTGGAACACTAGAATAGAGCGGAGCCGTCATCATTAGTGTTGTTAGTAGGCCTAACACCTGTGTTTTCCTACCATGAGTCAAAATGTCTGCCATGAGAAAGGCCTGGGATTGAGTAAAAGGCAACAAAAGAGAGCATTTATAAACTGCTACATAGAGATTGGGCAGTTAAAGGCAATCAAGTGACACATCTGCCTCATTGCAAAAATACACAGAATGTGTTTCCTGGCCTTCTCTTACCAGCTAAAACTTCTGCCACGTTTCTTAGGTTTCTGATCCTACTCTCCAGCCTGAGTGCTCGTGAATGGATTGAAATGAACTTGCATTCTTTATGATGACCACACGGTGTCAGTATTATCACATTTTCTATTTGTTTCTCTTGTGTATAACTATCGTTAGGGATGGGTCATGCTTTAGACTGAGGTTGATGTGTGAATCACCCCCAACAGCTTTGATTAAATATGAACGAAGTGATACAAAATGGCAACTCTTGCCTGGACATTTTTGACCTGTCACAGTAGTGAAAGCACAGGTATTAAATAAACATAACGATGCCTGAGTTCCATTTAGCTGTGGGCTCCTGATATAGTGCATTGTTGTGCTCACTGGGTCGCTTGAACGCCACAGAGCAGTCGTTAAAGTTATTAGTAACACCTGTGCTTTTCCTACTATTGTACATCTGCTGTGTATTACACCTGCAACCATGTGACAATCTATCACAGCTGCACTCACTAAACAGTGTTTTTTGGTTTGCTGATGGGACTCAGTTGCTGGTGATTGATGTTAGGTGATCATCTGTCTGCTAACACATGATTTGTACATGTTCCTCCTTGAGTAACTCGATATATCCGGCTATTGTGGCTGCTGTGCTACTTACCCTAAAGCGTGTGTGTGTATTCAAATTGACTGGTTCTCAGCCCGTGTTTAAAATACTGGTGTATTATTGCCAGAAGGTAATTTATCTATTGAAGGGGAGATAACTGTCTATTAAGTGGGTAGTAAATTTGAACGTCAAGGCTGATATTTAGATGCATGTTAAAATCTGTTGTAATAAAAAGGTAAAAATCACAGAGTTTTAATTACTCCTGACTCCCAGACTGTGTGTCTCCTGCTGTAAACTGACCTGTGATCCTGATTAATTACCTTGACGGGAGATAAGACATGCAAAAACACAAGGCAGTGAGTGTTAGTGGGACTGGAGCAGAGGGTGGGGCACCGTTTATTTGATACACTTGTTATTCATCCAGACATTTTCCTCTGCTTACTGGCTTTAAATCATACCCATTTTGCATCACGAGGAACACTTTAAACAGACGGTTGGCCTTGAAAGAATCAAAAGGTGTCAGATTTTTCTCTGAGACACCACAATGAATTTATGCAGTGTTGTTCCTCGTACGAGTCCCAGCCAACGTCCCACGGGCTAATCAGATAAGACTACAGAAATATCATAATCATGCATCTGAACGTTTAATCCACTCCCTTAAGTGCTCTAGAGCAGTCAGGTATCAAAGCAATCACCCGAAGCCCTCCCCCACCCTTCATCAGTGAAACAAACAACTTGTGTCATGGAGTCTTTGCACACCATCCTTTAAATCCCATACATGTATTGTGGGGTTCAACTCTATTGATTCATTCAGATTAGATGGAACAGATCGTTATAAATATGTATACAATGGTATGTTTGATTCAGTGCTGGTGTGACTACACAAACCAGTGTTTAGTGTGTGTCTGTGCGAGGGCAATGCCTCTGGACTCACACCGACAGAAGTTGAGGCATGGGAACCTGTTGTTGTCCGTTATCTCTTCTCCAGTCACAAGGCTTTCCTGCTCATGTCGCAGCTTGGGGCAAGTTAGTTAGACTGAGCTGTAGACGATAATGAAGAAATTGAATTGCTCAATTGTTGGTCTTCGTCTCTCTGTGCACCTAGAAGCATGCTTTTGGCTGGCATCTTCGGCTAAACGCGCCACGAGGTTTGATGGTACTCGATGGCAGTTCGTTCTCACGCTCACGTCTCCCATCATGAGACTGCGCGCACTCAGCCCACAGAAACACAAACAAGTGTGCAAGATAACTGGAAGTGGTTTATTTAAAAAGAAAGGATAAAAATAATCACAACAGTTGATTTAACTTTGAGTATTGTACAAAGGACACCACACATCTTACAGATAACCTCAGCATCATATAATAAAGTCAGACTACCGCTTTACAACACGGAGTCCATTTTTAGCATTTTAATACGCATGTTCTAGTTATGCAGCAAGTAAAGACAAGAAAAAAAAAAAAAGCATCCAAGTCTCCTGAATGAAGACAAAACTGCACAAGAACATGTCCGCTGAGGTGATGGACCCTCTAGACAGCTGTGCCTCTCTCCAAGTTTTGTTTGATCTCGGCTGTGTATTTGCCGTAGAAGCGCTCCGCCTTCTTGTTGAACTTGGCGTTCCTCTCGTTGATGTAGTCGATGTCTGCGTCGTCGTTGTAGGCCCTGCGTCGGCTGTACTTGGCCCGCTTCTCTATCCTGACAATCGCAAATAAAAGCAGCTTAGGGAGGACTTCATAAACGGCATATCCAATGACAATAATTGGCTACAGGCAATAATTCGAGGGTGTGCATTTAAATTTGGCAAACAGAGATGCGACGGAAAACCTAAAACGCATGCTTACTCGGAGGAAAATACTGTCAATTTGTGAGGTCCCAGTCTTGATTCGATGTGTCTTCAAAGCATTGTTATGCGTCATACCCTGGCAACTGAACCCTTGTCTAATACCCCACAGTCGCATCTCTAACACAAGCCTCAGACTGTCTCAAATATAGAACAGCTCAGGCTGAAAAACAGGGTAACAAAGGGGTGAGAGGGGACAAAAACCTGGAAGAACTAAACAGTCTGAAGCAGCAGTCAGTTAAATGTGAGGGAGAGTGAAGGTATGGTAGCTCTCATAAAAGGTTTACCAAACCTTGTACCCACACCCACGTACACTATGATATGGACCATCAGTTTGACATAAGGCCCCGGTCTGATCAGGAGCTGTGCCCCCACTAGGACCCTGAGAAGCACTCTGTATGAGGGGCGGGTTTCTTCAGCTCAGATAGGCCCCGGTTCACACAAAACACCCCCCCCTCTTCCTAAACTGGCAAAGAGGCCACAAAGTCACCGTTTATTGCGAGTGAGATAATCTCATATTTCCAGACTTCACACTACGTTTGTGGTGTACCAGTGCTGGAAAAAGGCCTCAACGTACCCACTGTCTTTCTGAAGTCAATTTTTTGGGGGTTAGAATTCCTTGAAGGAATACTTCACCGACAAAGTGAGCATTTTTATATCAATTAAAAGTTAACGCTGAGCAAATAAAAAACGTCTCACGCTTGCGAGGACACGCTAGTCGACCGCGAGACTCCAAAGTGTTTCAGATATTGCGGTTTTAGTGAAGATGCGCGTGTTTTTGAAGTACTGAGCATGCGACAGGACAAGACTTCTCTCTGTTCCCTGTGGAGGCATGTGAGAAAAATTAAGTTCTCCTCAAGAACTCAAGGGGACACTGGGAGAATAATTGATACACAAATGGTCATTTTGGGGGTGAAGTATTCCTTTAAGCCAATCATAATTAAACTAAAGACCTGAATTATTTACAGTATTTTGACAAAGTTGTCCATCATTAGCATTCAGCTTGTTAGCCTGGCCGAGTGCTTCTTGTTAGAGCCACACCAGTCTGCCCAGTGAGACCAACATACTTCATGGGCAAGCTGAGTGAGATGAAGTGAAAGCGAGGGTCAGGAGAGGATACGACGTCTCTGGTTTACTAGCTGTCCTCTCGAGTGTGACTTACTGTTTCTCAACATCTTCCACCATGCGGTCAATGCCGTCCTTTGTGGGGACATGGGTGCCGTGGATCAGGCTGTTGGACGTGGGGTGGAAGTCCTCACCGCTGTGGAGCAGCAGCAAAGGAATTAGACACGCACAACCAGAGATAATCACAATTTGAACATACTTAAAAGCGACTTCTCTATTCCATCATTGAGATGATGGTCATCCCAATGAAAGGAGATAATGTGGCCGCGGGGGGGAAATGTGTATGTGCATCCTTCATAGCTCTGCATGATCAACAGTCTTTTGAGTGTGAATAACCTGCAGGCGACAAACGCTTCTTCAAACTTGCGTTGCACTTTAAAAATTCTTTAAATTACTTACTGTTTCAAAACTGACTTCGGGGCAAACGGGGGGGTACAGGACTTCACATATAGAAAATGCTTTGTTCACATGTGACGGGTGAAGCCTGAGAGTTTTACGACAAAATGTTACAATTCATTTCACTTGACGAGAAATTTCACAGCTACGGTCGTAATAGCAGAGACGTCATCCTCCTCATGGCCCTGTTAGTGGGACTGCACAAATAAATAGTAATGCCAGATTTCTTCCCATGTTGAGCCGCCCGTCTATCTGGATAAAGAGCACAAATACAGTACGGGTCACTCACCAATCCTCCCTCTGCTTCTCATAGCTTTCCATGTCTGGTCTGATTTGCCGGGTGAGCCTCTGGTACTGTCGGAATTGGGCCTCAGCATAACCTGCAGTCCATTGTGTGAGACGGAGAGCAATACAAAAATTTAATAATAATTACCGGAACAAACAGCAAGCAGGCACGAGGCTCAGCAACACATCCCGCGGCTGGTTCTCTAGGACTCCCTTCCTCTCTCGAGGCCCCTCTGGTGATAATTTTCTCCCCACAGGTTTTAATTCAGAGGTTTTGATGCAACAGATGGAAGTCATATTTATGAGACACAGCAAGTCTTTTTTTTTCTTTTCTGCAGGAGATTAAATTCGAAGCAGTTCAACAAAGATTAAGATCCCAAGAGGTCCTTACATGCAACCAGTATTGCCCTGTATACTGCTCCTACATAGGACTTAGGCAGCAGCACTTCCCTGTTTGGTGGAAGTGGGGAAACATGCCATGGCACAGCAAAACCCACAGTGAACCGCTTGTTTCCTCAAGAGTCAACTGTATTAAATTACAATTTACTAAATGAGTAGACTGAGGTTCTGTGGTGTCGTGCCTAAAATAAAGTAGTTTGATTCAATCGCCGTTTGCTTCCAAGTTACTTCCTGACGCCACGATAACATTCCAGTGTCAATACAATCAGTGACAACCACTTCAGTGTGTTAAACAATGATTCTATTAGGTGTGAAAGGGACAAATGATTGATCAAGATACGTGTAATTAGTTTAGATTTTTTTTCAAACGGCCACAGTCTTTAGTCTGTACTTTGAGCTTTATTATTTCATACAGCTGTTTCTTTGTTTAAGTGAATATCAGGTTGGTGCCAACATGTGTTGTGTAATTAAAAGATGGCATCCTTTTGGTTCCTTCTACCAACAAAAGTTAGTTGCAAAGCAAAACAATGTGGTTACTCCCTTTGGAAAAGATGTTAAAAACCTCAATGAGATCATCCCGGCTAAATCTCACATTCTGCTACAGTGAACTGTAATATTTTGAGCGGCTAGTTATGGCTGGTCAAGGACCTCTCGTGGTTGCGGTAACTCACACTTTCTCAAAACACCTTTTATTGTCTGAACTACCGGTGTACACACTGCCGAGTGCATCGCCGCCACTCAGCAGCTGCTTGGCTAGTTTAAATATTGTTTTTGACAGGATTGTATGAAGTGTATTACACATGACTTTGAGCTGATCGTCTGCGTACATTGGCGCTTGTTTTTAAATATAAATGCATTTTGCAACACCATTCACGCGTTATGACAAGTATCGTATAAGTGCAACCACAGAGTACGCTGCACACAACTTATGTGCGTCTTCACTGGCATCCCCGCCACCAACCTGCAAATCCTGTGTCTGGGTTCTTCTTCCTTTTCTTCCTCTCCCACCGCTCTGCATCTTCAGCGGTGATTTCAAGCAGTTTCACTCTGTGATAGTCCTCCCCTTTGTCAGCACATTCCTGAAAGAAAAACATGGTTATGTTACGTATGTATAAATGATTCGATATTTCATGAGTAAACTGCCCCTCTGCTGAGTTTGTGGCAGTATTCAAGATGTACTGGTGGAGATGTTTTGAATCATTATCATTCTCTTAGGAGAAAGCAGTGACAAAAGATATGCTTTGAATATATGCATCCCCAGAGCACCATAGGGATTATAGGGGTGTATTAAATTAAAGGCAGGGTGTCAACTAAATATCTTGCACAGTGATTTATGTGCTACCACAGCACGTGGCCTCAGTCAGTGCTAATTTACTTAATCAAAACATTTGAAACCAAAAAGCACCCCTCCTCTTGAGCAAACTACACCGATCCTTAGAAATAATGTTATGGTACTTCAGCTTCATCACAACCATGTCAATGTGAAGAGAGAAATGACATCTTAGATGACTTCTGATCAGGGACATCTCGTCATTCTGAATATGCACAGTACTATAGAGTTTGTAAGTACTTGAATACTTAAGAGACTTAAATACTTTTTTCTTTTCGTCTTCAGCGAGCTCCCACTCCAGTCTGGCTTTCTTAGCCTCCCAGTTAGTCGGGAGCTTCAGTCTCTTGTCCTCCTCCACGACCTCCTGGTGGTTGAGCTTACGTGCTTCATTCTGCAACGGGAAAACAACACGCGATGACACGTTGTGCACGTAAATAAACACCCAGCCATGTAATGACGTAAGAGTTGGCCGCTATAACGTAAATGTGACTTAATTAAAACTCGTAACTCACCCGTTTGAAATGTAACTCTCGGAATTTCCGAAGTCTCGATTCCCTCTTCTCGGAGGGATGAGTTTCATTCTGCTCCTCCTCTTCTGTGGCTGTAGCAGACTCCTGAAGATACCGACGGTGAACGTTATCGTTATCTTTGTACGATACATTATAAAACCAGACTGTCTATCGCCGAGTGTCGACTCTAACAGACAAGATGGTGACGCGCTAGCGTTAGTTAGCAGTCGCTAGCATCGGTTAGCTTAGCACCACAACGCGAGATTGTAAACAACAAGTAAGGAACAGAAACACGCTCTCCGACGGCAACATGACACATCGCCCGTAAAGGAATTATATTAGTGGACTGTAATTTAACACAATATAAAATAAATTAGGTAATTTGACATTAAAATGGAAGTTACGAACCTCAATACAGGACGCCATTGTTGCACTGCACGGAGGATGAAAAAGGAAGTGTGACGCTCACACCGGATATTACGCAGAACATAAACATTTTAGATTTTATTATTCGGTCAGAAAATATTTAAACAGAAATATAAAATGTGCGAGAGGGCTCCATTTCTTTCAATAAAAATTACCGCATCGATTTTTTTTCAAGCAGCTTTCTGCAATGTGGATTTAAATCACAGTAACAAAAGTCCTTTCTACAACCTTACTGGATTTTTGCCCAATAAAATAACCTTAATTTCTCTTCATATTCTCTCCCCCCCCCC